TGGTGCCGACCTTGCGACGACCGTTGTTCGCGGGCCTCGCCCCTTGGTGCACGATGACAGCAGTGAGACCGTTCTTGGATGGCGGGCAGTGAGACGTTCGGTTTCTAGAGACGTGGAAAGATGAAGAGGAGTGGGGAGGCAACAGGAAGAGAGCTTTGTTGGGTTTCTGCTGCGCAGGATGCTGCGCAGGAACTGTGTGGTGTATCTGATTGCGGCCAACGTTGTTCGGTGGTTCCCCGTTGCTTGCGACGTTTCAAAAAGAAAACTCGGTCCTGGAGAACAGGACTTCCAGGACCGCCTGGAGTTTGAAGAAGGCGTTGTGGTTCAGATCAAAGACATTTCAAAAAGGGGACGTGGAGATTGGTGACTGACGAGACTGAGAAACTGGCGCACCAGTCTCAGACTGGTGCCGAGAGGTGGAAACTGCAGACACACTGAAGAACGTGGAGACTCGAACGTACCTGGACCGGCTTCTAAGTAGAAAGGGACGTGACCTGCACCCAAAAACAGCTACGGGCGCCCGGGGCCCCATTTGAACTGAGGTACGGGCCCAGGTCGACTCCAGGTGGAGACCTTGTACAGTGGCCCCCCAAATAGATGGAAAAGTCATGAAAAGTAGATCCCAATTAAAACAAAATATATATTGGAAGCCGTGCCACTATCTATTCGGGGATCACACTATCCCACACCATCCATGAGACTGGCAGTGACTGGCATATTTTGCATACATTGACCCGTTTCAACCACCCCAAGGTAGGTAAAAATGCCAGTCCCATGGATGGTCTGGGTATAGTTCTTTGGCCCTTTCTTCTTCTCCGTTTGCGACCTCAGGAAGTGATCCACGTGGTGGTGCTGGGCGCTCTGGGCATTGCCTTGGTGGCGTCTTGGGTGGAACAAGCTTCGTTTTTCATTCATGCCACTAGGGTGGCTGATCATAGGGTAGCTCATCAACAGTGCTGAAACCATTTGATTTCATAGCAAATAATATCCTAGACCCTGCGACAACCACAAATATGTGCCTCGAAATATTCTTGCCTCGTTTGCAACAAAGCGCTCGAGTTGCAAAATTGCGCCTCGTTCAAATTTATATAGATCCTATTAGATCCTGGTATACCCCTGGTGCCGCACAAATACCACAAAAGTGCACACACACTTTGTCTCCTGAGCTGCAGACAACCATCATCAACCATCACTGGCCCGGTGGCTCAGCCCGGTTCCAACTCTTTGAAGCTCGTTGCCACTGAAGGGCATATTCAATCAAAGTCTTTTTGATCGTAGCTTCACAGGCTAAACTATGGGTTTTGCGATTCGCTCGTGCAATCCGACCTATATAGTCCTCGTCGGACCAGCATGAGGACGCACCCAAACTGAAAACGTATTGGCACTCAGGATCTTGTAAGGGGCACTGGAGCTCAAGCCTAAGAGGTCTAAGATGCAACAGCATCACTGGAACACACCAGAATCATGGCAGATTCAGATGCAGCTTTGGAGCACACAATGCTGCATCATGTGAACTTTGGGGCGAACATAGTACAGCCTCCAGCCCTGCTGCTTACTCAAGGATGCGGCTGCTCCAAAAGCTTCCTGCATGAATTCCAAAGTCTATGTTCTAGCGAAGCCTTTCTAGAACTCGGAACCTCAAGGAACAAACTACTACACAAAATTGCTTTGCAAGGGTCAGTCATGTCCCACCCATCTTGGATGGTTTTCATGGCTTCTGACCGTGGTAGCCAAAGCTTTCCATAGCAGGCACGAAAAAACCGATTGGATGCTGAAACGCCCCACTTCACAACCTTGAAGAGAGGCCGACAATTGTCCTGGGCCGCGGAGCAGGTTTTGTTCATAACATGGGTTCCATATGACTCATGAAACAGGGGCATGCCGTCTATATTCAAGGCAGGTGTCAGGAACCATGTCAGGCGTGACAGGCTCCAGAATGTCTTCCAGCCATCTAGCTATGAGGGATGCATCACTACCCTTGCCAAGTCCACGTGGGAAATCCTGCAACCTGAGATGCGGATTCTAGCAGTCGTGTGGAGACACCAACACCCTTAAAGAACAGTTCTACTCAACCAGGACTAGAAACGAAGTAATCTTGAGCTCTGTCTTCGAGAACTCCTTGATTGTACTGGTTTTATGGTTCTGCTGACACCATTGGTTGAACGATGCGTAGGCATTCTCCAATTGATGTTCGTAAGGGCCTCCACCAAAAAGCTCACATCTTACTGCGAGGAAAACTAGGTGGCTTGCTAGCTCATCTTTCCCGTATCCAGATATGGCGTATGTGTGCGCGATGTCAATCTTCATAGCGCGAACGCTGTGGCCATGAGGTTTGATGGCACGAACACTAGCGGCTGCTCCTGCATGGAACGGGTCCTCAGCGAGAGTGTTTTGAGTCCATCGCCTGGTCGACCCAGAAGAAGACAGGTTGTGCCAGTCCTGAGATTCACAAGTCACGATTCAATTCTCTAAAGCTAGAGTGCATGGAGAGTTCACCCAAAACAAACAGCACATGCAAGTTGATCAAACTTGTTGACAGGAGTCGTGTGACATGCAAAGGTGACAGATTCTGGAGGATGCAAAACCCGTCCGAAGTTTGAAGCAGCTTCTCAAAAAATGGCCAATCCCCTTTGGATGCCAAGTATTGTGCATAAAAGCGGATTGTCCGGCCCTCAAACTGGACCTCTCAGGGTGGAAGAATTAAACCCTATCTTTGGGGAGGGGTAACCATTGGTAACACTGTTGTTTTGACCCCTCACCTCGACCCCTTCCTCAGCAGCTGCGTTCAAATCTTGGGCAACCGCGCGCATCAAAACCTGAATGCTGCGGCCTTGTGGAGCATACCTTTCACTCGGGAGTGAGGTGTAGAGCATTCTTGTCGTGAATGTATGCCTCAGAACCCAGTTGACCCTTTGGATCAGGATTGGAAACCAACCAGACAGATCAAAAACCCTGCACAAACAAAAAACAGAAAAAACATAATCTATTGATATGAATCTAGGCACCCTTTGTTGTTGGATTCTTCTTTTTTTCAGCCCTAGCACAAATTGAACACTGATGATCATCAATGGTCTCTTCACTTGTCCTCTGCCTTCGTCTCCATGTATAAATAGCGGTAGGGTCACATGTGGAAACCTGGGACGTACATCAGGTTCATGAAATCGATATCGTGCCCAAAATTCCTTCAGCATGTTCTGGATGCCGTCCAGCTCTTCTAACCTATATCCCCCAAGGATGTGCATACCACGGTATGTCCGGTGTTCCAGGCATACGCGCATCCAATCTCTAGGCATCAGAGTTGGCCACCGCTCCCAAACAAGCTTGCTTCGCCTTCTAAAAGTTCGTGCTCTTAGTGGTGTATCCACGTACTGGATCGGAATGGGAAGGTTGATACCTTTCTTCTCAACATAACGATGGAGATTTGAACTGCAATTCTTTTTTTTCTTGTCAAATTTGGCCAAGACAGCTATGTCAGAGATCTTTGGGTCATAAATTCCTTAGATGATAGACGTCGATAGACGATAGATGTTTGAGAGACCCAACGTTTGCAAACCATGCATAGAAGCACTTCGTGATGCTGAGGTTCCATGCTTGGCCAGAAGCTTCTCCGTCTTTTTTGCCTGGCCTACCACATCCTTTGCTGTAGCCTTGGATGACAGGGTTTCAGGAGGGGAGGACCTTTGAGCGAAGCACAAATGGACATGGACATCACGGTTGTCAAGAGACTCCTTTTGCAAAGTTGCAAACCATAGATCTAGGAAGGTCATCATCAGAAGAACCCGAACCGCACTCTGAGCTATCCCAACAGCCTTCAATTCAAAGTCAAACCGTCAAACCAATCACAGAACAATCCCGCAGATGGATACGGAGACTTGCCTTTGCGGGTGAAGTCCTCTCGATGACCTGGCATGGAGGCAGTGCGCTCTGCTACATGCATGTACGTATACGTTCGTTGAACACACGCGGCTGGCATTGTCGTTTCTTTTTGGAACCCCGTAGGCTTTGTCTCACACAAAATGCAGATCAATTTCATCTCTGTCTTCAAGAGAGATGGCTGAAAAGCGGGCTAAAGCGTTGAACGAGCCAAAGTACGATCCATCCCCAAAACAACATCATCAAAACATGCAATGCATTGTAAGCGCATCGCACCCATAGCTCAGAACACAATCCCGCGGCACAAAGAAGATTATCTACGAATCGGGTTTGGCTGGCTTCGCCACCCTTGCCTTAGGTGACCTACCATCCGACTTTGCCTTGGTCGACGCACGCTTGGGAGCCGCCTTGGCCTTAGCCTTGGACTTAGCTGCACCAGACTTTGCGTTTGGTGAGACAACGGAAGGTGCGGATTTGATTCCCCTTAGTTGCACAACGAACGGGCTCACAACTTGTGACAATCAGTGAGCTTGGTCCATGACAGTGCCACTGAACGCTCAAAAAAAACTTTACCTGTTGCTTCTTCCTCGATTTGAAGCTCGCATATTAGCTAGTTAGCTATCTTTCAGTTTCACAACTCTGTTTAGGGCTGGGTGCTTGGACCGGACCAACAGTGCATTCATAGCAACGTCCAACTTGGTACACTCCACAAACTTCGAAGTCAAAGAATCTCTCTTTGACCTCAACACAATGCAGACATGCCTAGATCAGTCAGAGTCATTAAGAAGAAAGCTGGCTGCGTGAAAGAAGCTTATCAAACACCTCAGGGGATACAGTGGCGTCAGAAAGAAATCCGGTCAGAGATTCATAGAGGCTCTGCATCTTGTCCATGTAGGTCCCCAAAGATTGGCTCAACCTTGGTCGTGATCGAATCTTCGTGTGTCTCAAAGTTTTATCATGAGAGACTGGATCGATTTGTAAGTGGTTGAACTCAAATGAAGAGGAATACTTTCCAGTACAGCTAGGGCACTGCTTGGATGCATCGCTCTTGACGCTGCTCATCCGGTCCTGACGGAGAGTGGCTGGACCACTTGGAGCTGAACGACCATCCAAAGTTCCAAAGGTTCTTAATCCATTGATCGCGGGTCCTTCTCAACCATGATTTTATCGATCTTGCGGCCCAAAACTTCGACGAAGTTTGGAAGGATTTGGAGAGGGCTTGTGGAGCTCGTGATGGTTGGGAAACTTAACCTGAGGTCATGCTGAAACAAGCATTATATTGCTACATTGCATGTTGATCCATGTTGATCCCCCAAAAAAAAACATCCAAAGCTTAGAGGGGAAGAGTTGTGAAGCTTCAAGACAAGTAACTTGAAGCTCATCACATTGGACATGTTCCCAAGCTGAGTCGACGCTGAGCCGTTCCCTGAGGCTTCGGGACTGCCGCCCGACCCTGACGCAGTGCCAGGCACGGCACCAAAGCTGGGAAGATCGGAGATGAAGAGTGATCCATCAGGGTCCTGAAAAAAGAACGATTAGATCTTCCTTGGTTGTTCTTTAGCTGATACCAGTGCTGATACCGTATGTTTCAACAACAACCCTCCTCAACGGATACAGTCCCACTCTGCTCCATTTCCTCAATCTGGCGATTGCTCATGTTGAACGTTTCCGCTGCAACGATCTTGATCTCCTCCTCTCCATGCACGGGGTTAACCCGCCACTGTCCTTGAGCCTTTGCCCAGGCCCATGCCTTCGCGATCATATTCCTCGGCTAATCGGTATAGATCATACAAAAAAAAGTTGGATTTGCAGGTGCAGAAAAGTACAGTGTTAGCTGAGATTCTTAGTGTAGCACTCAGACACCTCTAATTTGTTCTTCGTATACCATCCCCCAGTCGAACTTTCCGAGTTTTCCCGGATGTTCCGCTTCTTCAAAGCAACTTCCATCGCCTCAAAGGTCCCGTGCTCTAAGAAGAGCTTTTGCAGCTCCTTTCCTGACAAAGAGCAATGTGAACACAACGGAGGCCCCATCCCTTGTGCCATTCAATATGGAGCACTGCTAATGCAGCTATGTTACGTTGGGTAGGGTCATTCCACATTTTCAATGCTTCTGGCGAGCACTTCAATCCACCCATTTTTGGTTTGAAGTATCTCCGGAGCCTTGGAAACATAAGTGTGTGCATATGATCTGTTCCCCGCCCGGTTGAAAAACTTTGCAAAAAATTTGCATGTTGTGGAGTGCTGCCAAAAAACTTCCAGTAAGGATTGGCGGGGGGGCGTTGCCCTACCTGCGAGGCTGACTCATATTCTGAATCAGCAATGCTTAGAGTAGACGGGGCCGGGATTGCTGCTTCAGGTGTCTTGATCAAGGCTGGCTCTCGAAAAGTTGTCTCAGGGAGACCTGTCACCGCAGCTGACCCGTGAAGTGAAGCAGCAGGGTCAAGAGGTTGCACAGGGACAGGCACCGCTTCTGCGCTTGAACTTGCCAAAGGAGGCACAGGATCTGTCACGCTGTAGCTAGACGGGCATCGATCAGGCCACTCTCTGCTAGGGTACCGATTCTTGACACTTGGTGGTGCCTCTGCGTGAGACTCTGGTACCATATACTCCTTCGTATCAGAGCGCATGAGACAGGGTGGTGGTGCCATTAGCTGTGACTCTTGCACCTGTGTGTCTTCCACCTGTGTATCCGGACTGGGCGGTGCCATTGGGCCGGGCGGTGCCATTGGCTGTGACTCTCGTACCTGTGTCTCTGGTCCAGGCGGTGCCATTGGCTGTGACTCTTGTACGTGTGTCTCTGGTGCCATTGGCTGTGACTCTTGTACCTGCGTTTCCGGCACATGTACAAGCCCAGCACAGTACGACCCGCTGTGCTGAGCAAAGCTTGGAGCTCCTTGGCGGAATAAATCGATATCCGAAACTGTTGGGCGACTGTTACATGTACTAGAAAATGGTCCCGTGCAATTCATGTAGACAAGCTTCCCGGAACACTCTCTTCTGGCTTAGCAGTAGAAGGCTGGTTGCTCATTTTCCGACGAAGTACATTGATGCGATCTTGGCTTGCCTCCAAACCCGAAGGTGAAACTCCAAAACGCTATCTAGCACAACATCGCATGTTATAACCCCCCCCACTTTCCAAGTCACCTTGATCTTCTCCTGCAAAGCTCGTTTGCGCTCTGTGGAGTCCATGGAGCAATCCCCCTGGTCAATCTTAGCAGCGGTCATTCCCTTCAGCAGCGTTTCAGAAGAGTCCAGGCGTGAAGTCATGTCACAGCTGATCAGCCAAAACACACTAGCATTGCAAATCATGTTTGATGCACCAAAGAAAGCATTGGGGCCCTGAAAGCTTGCAACAAAGTCTTCACAAAAATATCCAGTAGAGGCACTTTTTCGATTTGCGCCTAATTGTTGTTATTTGCGCCTATATGCTATTTTTTGCGCTCGTTTTGCGCCTTACTTTTTCCACCCCAAAAGCATCCAGAAGGTATAGCGTGTATGTTTCCAGCTAATTTCACAAACAGGCATTGTTCTGCACTCGAATCACGATTGGTTCAGTAACCAATCACGAATTAAACCGGTCAAAAGCCATCAAAATGCTAGTCCCAATTCTCTTGGGTCAACAGCTCTGAATACTGTGCTCGAAGATCTAAATCTCCCAGAACCTGTCCAGACAATGGTGCTTTGAGAAATGAAAGGCCGCCATATTCACTTAGCAGTCCAGAAATGAAAGCATATGAAAGCACCTCAGCTTTGTAGTCCTCTACGAATTTCTCCATAGTTGATTGCCACTCCAGTGGGATCCTATCACGAAACCAAGCTGGACATATGACATACGTACAACTTGCGCAAGTGCCCACAACCCTTTCCCCTGCTCCTTAGATATTTAGAGGACATTGCGTAGAGGAGTGGTTGAAGCAAGTTGGCATCTTCCCAAACATCACCCATGTCAAGCTTTTGGAACTGCTCAACGGGGGGAACCGCCAGAAAGCTGTGGTTTGAACCGCAAATCCCGGTGATCAGCGCTCACCAGGTGTTCTTCAAATGCAAGTCGAAGACGCTCTCCAAAGCCAGGTGGATATTGCCTCGGGCGTGGAGTCGAGGGGATGAACATGGCCCAGTTGAAAATCATATTGGAATATATTGGAATCATTGGAACTAAAGTCTAAGATACTGGGAAGATCGCAGGTCTCCGGTTCCTTGGAATTTGACCTCGCCCTTTCCATTCATGTAACGCCCTTAGCTGAGGATGCAGGCTGAAGAGGGCTTTCAACCAGAACCCATTTTGGTGTATTGCAACTAGGGATCGAGTCAGTTTTTTTTTTTGTTTTCTCTTCTCGAACTGCACGTGTTAATTTGCCAGCATCCAAGAAATGAACTTCTCTCATGTTGCTGTAGCACCAGGTCCGCTTGCTAGTTGGGGCCCCATAGAGAAGCATCCAGAAGTCACAACGGTGCACCTGAGACGTATTCCAAACAATCGAGGTGCATGCATGATCCATTCTGTCGCATATCATGCATATGACTTGAGGGCAGAACATAGGCCACAGTGTTGATCATCCAGTCGAATCGCTTCTGGTGTTGTAACAGCGATCTCTGTGGTTGCTCGACAACCCAGACCAAGTTCCGGCCCATAGCCAACAACAAACATAGGGTGAGCCTTAGTTGAACCCTTCCCAAAACCAAACACTCGAAATCAACAAATGACAAAACAAATCAAACAGTTAAAATTGTGATCTAGACTCATGGAAGTATCCGAGATATCATGCAGGACGATCCTCTGACCCATGCCAAGAACAGATTTCCATGGACGTTCACCGTGGACCGCCAAGACGTCCCCCTCGCTGGAACCCCCCCAACTGCTGCAATCGGGGCCCGCCAAGAACAGGCCTCGAGATTGCATTCGATTCAAGATGATCAAAGCGAGCCTGAGGCCGGGAACACACAGCTGGATCGGAGGAAGGTGGGCGGGGCGAAGAGGCACTCACAATTGAACTAAGCCGCAAAAACCCAGCACTTCCAAGAAAATTCATACCGGACTTTTCATAGTCCCAATCATAGGATGCAGTTCTGTAGCCGGAAGAGGCCCTTAGATTAGAAGGAAAAAAGTGGGGTAGGCCGGGGTAGGCAAACATGCATGCCACTGATTTGCTCAGAACAGGACATCACACTTGATACCGCCGCCTTTCCGGAAAACAGCTCGAAAAAATCCAGACCATCTGGAATGTTATGAGGTGGCAAATCGAGCCAACCAGCTAAGAGAACCTCATCACACAAAGGGCAGAAGCATTCTAGATCCAGATATATACAAAAGGCTTTGGAAGTTAAGATCAGAACCAGAGCAATAAAGGCCTCCAAAGCAATACATGTGCTTTCAGTAGGGAATGAACATGTTCAACTTTCACCCCCAAACCTTGGGAGCTTGAGTATGCTGCAAAACGGTGACGGCATCCCAGGGCATGGTGGCGTACACGTATGGGTTCACCGCTTTGATTGGCAAAGGGCTGCGCATGTGCAAAAACAGCTAGCCATCTTGCGAGCATTCACTGGGACAACTACAGCATGTAACATGCCCAAATCGAGCCGAGGTTGACCATCCACAGCAGCCGCCTTCCTTCTCCAAGCGGAAGCAGGCATCAGCCTGCAACGGTTGTCGGGCAGGTTGTCGGGCAGGTTGGTCACAAGTCATGACGGGATGGAAAGGGATGGAACAGGCTCCAAACTAGTTGAGGCTCATGAAATCTCATGGAGTTGGTATTACAAGAATCTGCCAATGAAAGCTGACAAAAGCTCAAAGGTCGGATGCGAGCGCGTTATTTCCGCATGTCTCCACTGCTGCATGGGATCATACCCACTGCAAATCCTATAAGTAGTCTCCAAAGTTCTCTCAACAGCGTGTCGCTGTTATGAGGTCCCCGAATTGCAACATACCATTCATGTATGTTGATAGCCATGTTCATCACGGCTCCCCAATCACACCATAGAGATCGAAGCAGTGGCAGGTCACTGACAATTTGCATATGCCTTAGATCGAACGATATCGAGCGACATGTTGCGGGATGGTTTGAGCTTGCATGCGTGAAATGTGATATAATCCAAGTAACCTCCTTGGCCAATCTCTTGGCTTCTTCAAGGCTTTTGCCATCACCCAGGGCTGCCCGTTTGGCAACGTGGTAGGCTGAACTCTTTCGAGATGCCTTTTTCTTAGGGTCATCACCGTCACAATGTTCATCCTTTGGCTTTGGTGTCTTTGCTGCGCTGGCAGCATCGGACTCCACAGCTTTGTTTTTCCACTTCCTTCCCGTGCGAGAGGGTGCTGAAGACGCTCCTGGTGGATCAGTCAAAGCACCGCTTTTTGCCTTTGACTTGGATTTGGTCTCTTCAGTAGTCTCCTTGGATTCTTTTGAGCGGCGCCGTTTTGACTGTGGCTCTTCAACATCCCCAGTCATGGTCTTTGCTTCCTTCAAGGCTTTGCCACGACAGGCTTGAGTTGACTTGGCTCCTGTCTCTTTGGCCTCATTTGGCCCTTCCTCATCCTTGTTGTCTTTTTTGGGCTTGGCTTGGGCTGGCTTCACATCAACCTCCTCGGGGGGTCTCTTCAGACTTGGGAGGCTTTGAGCGTTGCCGTTTTGGCTTTGGATGCTCCTCCGTGTCCTTCTCACCTTCATCCTCCAGTGGCTTTTTTTTTTGTGCCACGGCTGGCTCGTTTTGGCTTCACATCCGCCTCCTTGGGAGTCTTTTCAGACTTGGCAGGCTTTGAGCGGCGACGCCTTGGCTTTGAATCCTCCTCCGTTTCCTTCTCCTCCTCGTGTTCCTCATCCGCCTCCTTGGGAGTCTCTTCAGACTTGGCAGGCTTTGAGCGGCGACGCTTTGGCTTTGAATCCTCCTCCGTTTCCTTCTCCTCCTCCTGTTCCTCCTCATCATCTTTCTCTTGTTCTTCTTCGTCCTTCTTGCCACTTCTTCCCCGTCCTCGGCCTCGGCCTCGCCCTCGACCCTTGCCCCTTCCTTTGCTGGCCTTGGCTTCTCGCTGGTCTTTAGGTGTCACTGGAGTGATGCTCTCCAATACATCACTTGGGCGCTCGATCTTCGGCTTGATGTCAGAGGGCTCTTCGCCATCTGGCTTTTCACAAGTGTTTGG